TCTTTCTGCTGGATAAAATGGATGAGCGAGTCAGGAACGTGTTGTCCTGAGTTTGGCTTTATAACCCAGAGCAAGATATGGCTTAAATATCTGGCAATTCTTTTCTTTTCCATCCAGTAGAGCAGATCAGTGTGTTTGAGTTCGTAACACTGCAGTGTAATCTAGTGAATACTGAGTTGAGCAGATTGCTAATAAATTGCATTGTAATGATGGATATTCCTACTGTTTTGCCTGAAATCTTAAGGCGTGTTGCATTCTTGCAGGTAGCTCGACCGGCTAACCGCACACCGGGACCATACGGTCGAACTGGCAGAATGGGCATCAACCAGCAGTTAGAGCTGATGGAAACTGTGCTGGTAGTCTAGAACAGACCATAAGGAAAATCAGGAGATAAGCAGCAAATGGGAGGTTATAAAATGCCACCCAGCTTGTAAGGAGCAGTGGGAGTAGAAGTGCTTTCAAAAGCTGATAGACGTAATGGAGCATTGTAGGTCTGCTGGAGGGAATTACTTATCTTCTGAGCCCTGTAGCTTGCAACCGCTCTGCGATTCCTCCCCTAGTTGACCATCTTGCTGGAGGCTGATGTAAGAGATACCTAAAAGTTTATCAGGCTTGTGGCTGCCGTTGCACATGTATAAGGACTTTTAGTGTGAAGGACAGGCAGTGTGAAATGGGTAGTTGATCTCTGTCTTTGTTGATGGTTGATTAGATAGATTTTGGTAAATTATTTTCATATGTCCGAGTTCTGTGCATATGAACATCCGCTTTTCAGATGCGAGCAGATTAAATTGCTGTAGTTATAGTTAAATAAAATATTACAGGGACACATTTTTCAGCTCTGGAAATGTCAGGTTGGTGAGGCTGGTGGGGAAGCCTGGAATCACAGGCTATTCTTTCAGTTGTCACCTGACTAAGATGAAGACTATTTAGCTGGTTTAAAAAAAAAAAAAAATTTGGCAGTTACCTTTTGAATGGAGATGCTTCTTGAATCTGTGAGAGAACCTCAAGGAATATAGGTGTTCCATGTTCCCTGTGCAGAAAGCTAAAAACCTGATTACTAACGCTAACTTTTCCTACCGATTTGTTATGTTGTATAAGATACCACAAAAGTAGCTGTTGCATCAAATTGAGGAAAAAAGTCTTTTGATATCTCTTTAATAAATGGGAGATGGTTGCAGAACAAAAGTATTTATCTTAGATGATGCTATAAGCAGTAGATTCCCCTCTCTGTTGTAAGAGGACGAAAGCAGATTAGTCGTTGAGACGTACACCGTTTCTAAGATTCTTCTTGTCCTGTGCTGAGTGAAGCTGTTCGTTTGGGGATCAGTGACGGTAACATAGTTGTCTTATTTTCATGTGAATTGTATGATTGACGTGATACCACAAAGCAACTTGAGGGAGCACTAGCACTCTGAAGTAAAGCCTTCGTTGGTCTGCTGAAGGTTGAGTAAAACATTCAATGAAACAGCATTTCCCAAGTGGATTAATATCGTTTTATGCGCTCAAAACTCTATGATATTTGTCTGTAGACAATGACTGGCCACTCTAAAGTAATTGCATTTCTGAATATTGATACTGGATGAAAAGCTCAGCTGTAAGAGCATATATTACTTGAAAGTATACTGTTTAGCTGGGATGGATTTTGAGGAATTATGTTTGAAGATAAGAAAAGGTGAGGTATCTGGAGAATACTAATGGTAACTTGGGCATGGGACCACGTCAATGGGGAAGATTGCTTATGAGGGAACCTAATTTAAAATATCTTCCTCAGTGCTGTTGGTTTTTTCCTTTTCTGGATGTTCTTCGTTTCCTAAGTGCCCTCTGAGGTGTGGAGCCTTGTATGAGAATGTGATAGAGAAGGCCTTGTTCTAGGGACAGGCTCAGAGGCTGCTTGGGGAGAAATTTTGTGTTTGCTTGCCTTGTTCTTATTTTATTTTTTTGGTTTTTGGGAGGAGAGAGAGGAGGAGATACGGTTTTTTTATCAGCTAAGGCAGACAGTGCTCATGGGCTGTGGTCATGAGAGTGGGGGAGAGGAGGGGGAAGAGCCTGCCTTGCTTGCTTCTCCCCGTCAGCAGCATCTCCTCCAGTAGACCCAGTTTGGAGTCTCGTTGCCTGGCCCTCACCACCTCCTTGAGGTTTGGAGCGGGAGGCAGGAGATGAGCCTAAGGCTTATTCTCCTTATGTCATCTGTTTCCTTGTAGCATCACTACAATGCATGTGATTGTCACTAATGAACAGCTCTTGTCACTGTTCTTGCCTTAGCCCTTGCCCATTTCTTTCCTCTGCCTGTTTCTGGCACAAGGCTACTTCCTGGAAGTTTTGGAAACGGAAACCTTGGTTTGGAGCTTATCCTTCCTTCCTCAGATGGTGGATGTGATCCTTGCGCTCATCTTATCCTTTCCTCCTTTGTCCTCAGTGGGGTTGACCAGTAAGAAGTCTCCTTGCCTCCTTCCAGCTGTTCTTGTGGAACGTGGTGGGCATGCTAAGGTGGAAATGAGCCACCTCCTGTATCTCCAGGTCATTCGAGTTGTTCTCTGGGGTGCCTAGGACTCACATGAGCTACTGCTGTGGTGATGACATGGCATGCTTCCTTATCGCCTCTTTTTGCTTGGTGACCTGCAGGACCCTGGTCACGCTATCGTGTCAGACTGGGCTAGCGCCATATATCAGTTCCCCCAGAAGTCCAAGAAGCGTCCAGGCATGCATGCCACTCTTCCTTGACATAGGAGTCACTGTCCTTATGTTTTTACAAAAGCTTTACTTGTAAATATCATCTGAATTTTGCTTTTAAAACTTCTGAAATTGCTGCTTGGTGTCAGCAGCCCTTGTGACTCTGAAGACAATGAACTGGACTAGTTTATTTAGAAGGGATACTGCTCTCGCTGTTGCAATATTTCCACTGTGGCTCCTCCTGAAGCCAGGAGGAGAGGTGTATGGGTGTGGTTGTGTGTCTCTCCATCCATCTCTCTGATGGTACATCTGCATGCAGTGCATGTAATTGCTACAGATGACGGTTCTTTATGTCTTCATCTTGATAACCATGCCTGACTACATGAGACCAGAATGGAGAACGCTACCCGTGAAAGGCACTTCTTTTGAAGTAAATGTCCTCAGTAACCTCCTTGGAGGTTGTGGAACCTCAGGCTGATGTTTTTTGTAGTAAAAGGGGAGCTTCTCCTTGCCTCTCTCTCCCAGGAGCCTGTGCTTCTTGCTCCATATGACAGTGAGTGGCTTCTCATGGGCCTTTTTGAGCTGCGTGTCTGTTCTGTTTGCCCAGAATACCGGGCTAGACAGATCCTGTATAACTGTTCTTCAAAAAATGAAACTTAGCAAAAATATCTGATAGGGCCAGACCAGAGCTGGCTTTAGGTATAGGCAACTGTAACGAGAAGAGCAGCAAAATCTGCTTCAGTGTCCTGAAAAGTAAAAATGTTCCCTGTGTACTGTAAGCACTGTCTTGTAGCAGCCTGTGACGGCCTCTGGCAGACACAGGCTCCAGGCTTAAAGTGTAGGGCAGCATGATAGTGCATCTGTCCCATCCTCACGGGACTCGCTAGCTGCACAGCATCTGTCTTTGGGATGCTCTTGGACACGGTAAGGACCTGTGAAGCTTTGGGGATATTTGCACTTTTCTTTTTTTCCTCTGTATGTGGAAGGGACTAGGTGGGCTGAAGACGAGGGGCTCTCAATCCCAGAATCGGTGATGAGGAGACCTGGAGCTGCCTGTGCTACCTGCAGCCCTAGCTCTGTCCATGCATCGCTGCTGGACCAGGCCCCGTACCTGGTGCTGCCTTGTGCCTTGCTGTTTGGGTCTTCAGAGAGATCAGGTTGGGAGGATGGAAATAGGGAGCTTTAGTGGCAGGAAGAGGCTGTTTTACTTAGCTGCAGTGATACCTGTTAGCCTCCACTGTGGACTTGCTCAGGGAGGGTAGTGACTGGGGAAGCTGCTCTGCTGCTGTGCAAAACTGAATTTTAATACTCAAGGGTAAATGAATTTTTACTGCCCGCAGATGAGAACAAACTTATTGTTTCTGAAAGTCTTGAGCCAGCTTTAGAATACAGGAGGCTTGGACAGGAAATTGCAGAGTGTGAAACAAAATTCAGGGGAGAGAGGGTGCAAATTAGTATCTTAATTTTGGAAAAATGCAGTAGTCGTGTTTGAGACTCTTAAGACTAATGAGCACCTGTCCAGTACCTGCTGATGTTAGTGGAATAACTATCGACTTAATGGGCTTTGGATTATTCTTGAGTAGCTTATTGTCCGGAAACCTCTTCTGGAAGGTGAAATACATCCTTCCTCTGTCATTGCTTCTTCATTTGAATGTGTTGTACCCGATTGTCCAGAAGTGACTTTAGAGAGATCTCGTTAGTGAGCTTAGTAATTACTGGATGTGCAGAAAGAAAAAGCTGCAGCTTTGTGGCTTCTGTTTGGCCAGAGTTTTACTAGTCCTGGTTGCGTTTCTGGAGTTGCGTTTTATTAAAGCTGAGGTAAGAGTGGTGTTGGCTGAAGACTGTTCAGAGTTAAACATTGTAGCCTGTTGTTCATGATGGTTGTGTAGGAATTTGCGTAAAATAAAAAAAGTACAGTCTGAATATGTACTGGTGGTGTTCTGATAGATATTTTGTGGTCGCCACTCTTTTGTAAGAAAAGGTGACTAAGCTATATGGAAAGCATTATGCCCACTTCAGCAAAGCTACTTGTAATGTCTTTGAAGAGTGTTTCCCGTAAAAACACATACTGGAAACATCTGTCCAGCACATTGAATTAAAGGATTTTTCTTGATGTACTGTCTGACCCCTTACGTTGAGGAACTTCAGTGCTCTGTTTTCCTCCCGACTTCCCCCATCTTTCTCTTAAGCTGTCTTCTCAGCAGACTTTTCCGTAGCTGGAGCTGTGAGAATGGGCTGGACGTTACTTTCAGCATCTGTCTTAGCAGCTGTACTGCTTCCTGCTATGAATCATCTGGAGTACTTTTTTTTAAGGGTGAAGGCACATTTGTTTTCCTGAAGCCACAAACTAATCTCCGCAGTCTGGCAGCCAAGCCTTAAATGAAACTTCTGCTGTGAAAGTGTTCAAAGGAAGGAAGTTCTCCCCAATCAGTGGTGATCGCAGAGAAGCCCTGAGAGCAGCTCCTTTTCTTACGGGTTGAGTTTGTGGTTAGAGGAACTGCAAACTTCATCGGTTCTCAGAGAGTTGCAGCAAAACGTCTAATTTGTTTGCCCCTTAGTGTCAAACATGCCATGAGCTGATGTTTTCAGAAATTCATCTCTACAGCTAACCAAGTGCTAATTTTCAAACTCTCTTCAGCAGGGGAAGAACAGTCTTTTGCCTGAGAGGTCTTGACTATGTTTTGACCCCTCTCTTGGGCTCAAGTATGCAGCTTCATTTTCCAGGGCTCCGTGGTTGTTTATATTTCAGTACAGGGAGTCCAAAATGCGACATAGACTTTCTTTTTAATATTTTATTTTTTCTCCTGAGGATCTGAGGATTTATAGCTCCCAGAAACTTGAAGTTGGAATCTAATATTCAGTTCCATATTTCACATAGACACGAAAACCAAAATTCCCCTTCAGTTTTGCCTTAAAAAAAAAAAAAAAACAGGAAAAAACCCCCAAAAGCACATTAATTGCAAAGTCGTTAAGCATTCTAATTTTCTTGTTAATTTTTCTAGGAAAACGTCAGATTCACCACTTGGGAAACCAGCTTCAACTCAATCAACATTGTCTGGATACGGCTTTTAATTTTTTCAAGATGGCTGTGAGCAAGCACCTGACCCGGGGGAGAAAGATGACCCACGTAATTGCTGCCTGTCTCTACCTGGTGTGTAGGACAGAAGGAACTCCTCGTATCCTTTCACATGTGTGCAATATGAGAGTTATCCTTTGGACCCCTAGATAAAATGCCTTAGGTGTTGGATGCGGGGGGGAGAAAAAAGCACTGTTTCTGCGGTGGCAGTAAAAAACATACTTTTAGTAAGTCAACTATCTAGTCTGACTGTTTTTCTAAATTTGAAAAGGTAAGTGTTTAGGACGTAATTTCATAACTGCAGATTTTGTATAATGAAGTGGGTGGGAATTTTTCCTGCGTTCAAGGAAATTTTTTCCCTTTCTAAATGTACAGTACTTAGTTACTTACAAGGATCTATTAATTCCACTCCGCCTCCCCTCAGTAAGTATTAATTTCTTCTTTCTTAACATTTTCTTTCTGAGGGGGGGGGAAAAAAAAGGTACTCTTCCTGTGCTTTGCTAAGGATTTTTTTTTTTCTGTTGAAACACCAAAAATTAACCCCAAGGCTCCTGTGCTGTCTACATTAAAGAACAGATCTGAGTTCCACTAGGCCTTCCATCAGGCCTTCCATCCAGATACGTGAATTTCCTTCTTCTAATTCTTGTGGGAAGGGAAGTATCATTACCGTTTTGATTTTGGGGAAAAGGACATTTAATAAATTACGTAATTTCCTCAAAGATCATACAGGAAATCAGTGGCTGAAAATGGAACTGCACACAGGTTTAGGTTGCCAGTCAGTACTCCTTGCTGTAGACCATCCTTATTTTTGTATTGTAGAACATTGTTAACATCCCTGTAAGCTTTAGATACTGATGGACATCCAAATTTATTTGCTTATGTTTATATTTTTCTGTTGTGTTTCAGTTATTGGAATTTGGAGTTTAGTATCACAAACCCAAGAGAATACAACCACTTACTTGTGTGTTGCATTAGCTCTCCTCCGCTGCTTTAAAGCAGTATGTGTGTATCATCGGTATCTTATTTGATCTGATGGTTTTTTTTTGTTTACTTCATTTCATTCTATATTTCTTTTAGCAGTTGGACAGCTCTGATTTTTTTTTTCAAGATTTGAGTTTTTTTTTTTTAGTTTCAAACTATATTCACAATCTTAACATTGGTGCTTTGTGATAATGTTGTGGTCATTGTAGATGCATGTTAAAAAGTGCTTTTGCAGGAATAATGGAATTATTAAAGGAAGGCTTTGCTTTTTTCAATACAAAATCTTTTTGTGAACTTTGAACGGTATAACTCTCTATTGTTACTGTAAAGACAGTATTGAATCATAAGCATTGCCAATATTTTATTATGCTGTTGTCATTTTTTTTTTTTAGAAATAACTTATTTACAGTCATTATTTAATATTACTGAATGATAGCCTAACCATAATATGTGAACCCACTTTTCTCCAGTGGTAGTGATAAAAAGTATTTGAAGTACTATGGCCATAATAGGCAAGTAAGTGTATTGTAGTGCCACAGCCATCTGTGTAGCAAGTGCGGCTAAGCCTTCCAGCAAACCACGAAAGGCCTTTGCTTGTTTTACATGTCCTCTTTGAAGTGTTTCAGTGCGCATCTCAGTTATGCGCGAGAGGTACTGGTCTGGTTGACACTTCATAAATACCTGAATTTATTTTTCCGCTATTTTCTTCTCGTTAAATGGAGAGTACTTCCTTTGTGATATTTCACATATAAAATATTAGGGGTATGATATGATTATGAATAAGACTGTGAAGATGGTCTCTCTGTTACTATATTAATATCACAGAGTAGTACATCTTCTCTTGTGTGGCTGCTTTGCCATCTGGGAATGGGGAAGTGGTAGTACATGACTGCATGGCTCATTTTTGTTAGTGTTGATTTTTAAAAGCCATTACATAAACTTCATTTTGTAGTTGACATTAAGAATTCAGCTGCATTGAAAGTCTCTAAAGATAGGAGCTTTTTACTTTGGGAGAGTGAGTTCAGGTTGTGGTGGATGCATTATGCCTGTGTTTTGCAAATCCATTAGTGTGTGATGTTTTTTTGTTGTTGGTAGTTTCTTTGTTTGTTTTTAGTATTTCACAATCCAGGATACTTTAAAATAACCCCCCCCCCCAAAAGCTGTGAATTCTGAACATTGAATTATCAGTTCCTCTTCTGGCATCTTGCATCTTTTATTAGAAATCTGGAAAACTGAGAGCTGCAGGTACGTATTGCTGGCCTCTGAAATTAAGATACACCTAAGTCTTCATAGACTAATTATGATGATCATTTTCAGTGTGTTATATTGGTGTTTCCAGCCTAGATCAGGCAATATGCAAATGGGCAGTAGGAGGCGGCCTTACTCCCAAAGCCTTTGGTCCAGAGAGAGAGACCAAGAGCACCTGCAAAGGCTGTCAAAGTGGCAAGAGGCTTTAGCAAGAGTGAAGATGCACGTTCAGGGTAATGACAAGCTTGCAGCTGGTTTTGGTCTTTTGCAGAAACCAGTCGAGGACAGCATGCAGAGAGGAGAGGGATGCTGTACAAAGCCTATCAGTATTTATAATATTTTTAGATTCGTATAACACTGCTAAGCTGTAGATTGAGAGTTTGAAGTGTTCATTGTCGTAATGGAATTTTTAGGAAGAAATTATTTTGGAGGAATTTAGAAAAGGAAGTTAAGACTTTGAAGATCAGAGAGTATATTTTAGAGGAAAGAGATATGAAATAAGTTGAGAAGGGCAGCGTTTTCAGAAGTTAGAGGCAGTGCCTTGGTTTTAGGCTGCCCGAATGAATCAGTGGAGTGACGTGGGAGTCATGGAGGCTAGAGGGGTTAGATAGGAACAGATTAGCCTTTGAAACAGAAGACAGCATGTCTCTTAAAAAATATTATGATAGAAGGAGCAAAGCTGTGGCCTGGGGAGGTACAGTCAGATGTAGCAGGGGCTGAAGTGGCAAGAAATGTTGTGTACTCACCAGTAGCAAAACTGAAGGAGTGGGAAGAGAACAGGACTTCATTGTCTCCTTTGAGTTCAGTTTGAGGGATGGAATGTATTTATCTTGTGCGCGTATCTGCTTATTCTTCTTTTTCCATAACGTACATGTTGCTGGCCAGCCTCTGTGAAAACGTAAGGAAAATTCTAGCTGAGTTTAACGCAACGATCTGAATTTTGCCTCAGTAAACCTCAATCTGAAACAGAGAAACATTAAGATCTCCTGGGTTCTTATGTGTTGTTTAATTAATATAAAAATGCAAGGTATTAAAATAGTACAACCACACTTTTACGTTCTCTTTAAGTTATGAAACTTTTTTCGGGATTAAAAAGTATCTGAAATACAGCTTTTATATATAGTTCTTTGGAAGTTTAGGACTAAATATTTGAGATCAGAAATCATTTTACATCAGATTGTTTTTTACTGGCTTATCTGACACACAACCGCACAATGCAGTAGCTCTAAGATGGCTTTTCGTTTATTCACCTTGTTTATACGGCTTGGCAGTGTTCCATGTTTTAAAGGGAAGATGGCTTATTAGCTAAATTTGGGAGAGGTTTTATCCTTTTGAACTACCGGCACAAACTTTATTCTTTTTATAAAATGCGTTTATATTATTAGTGTCGGCAATAAAGACATAACACAGAATACAGATGGAAGAAGCAATGATTTTTAAGTCAGGCTGGACAGAATTGGTTATGCTTCTCGCAGGGTCCGGTTCGGAGCGATTCTGAGTGTTTCCAGCGACATCTGACATTCGTTGCCGTTGTGAACGCTCAGTACGTTTCAGAATCTGGCTCATAATTTATTTCTTGGAATAGTAACAGTCCTCAGTTGTTCCTCTTTAATGTTTTGAACAGCTTTTCCACCCCTACATATCTCTGAATAGAAACAAAGAGCTTTTTAGCTGGTACGGCCGTTCCCGCGAGCGAGCACTTTGGAAAAGTCAAACGCGCTTTTTGACTGACTGAGGGATTAGTGTGTAACCTGTGGCTGCCCTGGGGGTCACGGCGAACCAAGGAGGAGAGGCTCGGGTAGTATTTTCCAGGTGGGAGATCGGTTTGCTTTAATCAAGGCACGTTTCATTCCCTTTGTAACCCTTTTTGCTGTGACTCATAGTGTAAAGGTTTTTTTTTTTTTCCTGTTTTGTTTGTAAAATTTTCCATCCGATCACCTTTTTTTTTTTTTTTTTTTAAAATCAGTGGCATTTTACATGGCAAATGTCTTTTGTCTCCTGCACCCCCCTTCTTTTTTTCTTTAAAGCGCTCTGAAAAATGCGCCCTTAGTTGTAAATCAAATACTATCTTATTAGCGCTTAGTAAATAAAACCTTCTCCACATGAGAAGAGCTCTTGCAAAGTTCCCTCACCGGCTATCTTGTGTAAATATGCCCGTGTTTGCCTGAGGAGGTAAACTCAGGGCAGGTTTCTCCCCCTGCAGCAAGGCAAATGAACCTGGGTGCAGGTGGAAGCCCCGCGCTTCTGCCGGGGCGCCGGCGTGTTGGCCACGCTCTGCCGCCTTCCCACCGCCCAGGGCTAGGGCAGCCCGCAGCTGGACGTCCCCGAGTTTGGTCATCCTCGTCTTTCGACTGGTCTTCAGAGATCTCTTTGGGCCATTGGATGGAAGAGATGGGCTCTTCCTACAGGTCCACGGCACCCAAGTCAGACCTCTCTTCTGAGCTGTTCTTCGAGGAACCTTTCTGCAAATTGTGTAGGAGAAATAACCTCTGAATTTGAGGGTAGCGAGCAGGAGGCTGACGGGAGAAAGCTTGGTTTCCTTTGTTTCTGTTATGTGTGAACTTGCGCGGGCTTGGAAGTGGTAGGGTACTTTTCCTCCTCTGCTTTCTGTTCCCTGTGAACCCCCCTTTTGTTTGAGGAAGGATCATGAAGACGTGACAGGCTTTTGTCAGGCAAGAAGGGTTTGGAAAAAAAATGGGCATCTTCTTGTCGAGTGAGGCAGGACTTTATTTCCATGTGGATTTCCTATCTATCTGCAGTGCTTGTGCTCTGCACAAAATTGCCAAGCTATTTGACTGCCTCCTGGTTTAATGTGTTTATTTTCATGTCACAGTGAGGGGAAGTTGAGAGTATTTATCTTCATTTTCCAGG